TCCTTTTTCCGAATCTTCTTCAGCTTCCTCTCCAGGACCCTCTTCTTATCGGGACTCAAGTCCTCGAGCCCCTCTGCCTCAGCTGTCCCCTCAGGACAGCTGGGTGGATCAAGAACCTGTCACAACAAAGCAAAGCAAACGCACAAATAAGTCGCAGCGAAAATGAAATCATTTGATCGCAAACTGCTTCTTATGCACATGCCAATTTTAACTCCGCTAAATGCAAACTAAATGTGATATTTTACTGTGTTTTTGCAGACAGATGAGTCAAAAGTCAAAAGCAGTTTTCAGGTTTAGATCACTTCCTCTTGCTCTGCAGCTCTGGGCAACGTTTCCTGTGCATACAGTATTACGAGTTCACCATAGCACGCTTTTTTTGTGCAGTACCCAGACAGTTTCAGCAGTGCGTTCGCAGAGCACACACCACTGTACATGCACTTGGATGGTTTATAAATAGCCAACAAAAAAAAAAAAAGACAATGAAACAATTCAGCTTCACAGAACTGCTGAAGAAGTTTTTAAATAATAATAATTTGAAAAACATTTCCTTGTTATAGGATGTAAACACAGCACAACTTAAAGACTTTTATGCCAGAGGAAGTTGAACAAGGGACACACTATGCTCTCCGATTTAGCCGACCTCTGGTGGTGATGAAAAGAAGAAAAAAAAAGGGAGGGGAAGAAGAGATTTTGGTCACATGGCCAAAAAGTCATTCTGAAAGTATGCTGCCTGGGCATTGCCCACAGAAATAGAAAAGCCTTTTGTATGATGAGCACTTGTGTCCATGCGAACAGCATCGTTTTCGGAGCTTTGACTCAGGCGGTAGCAGCGTCGGGCCGGTGGATACAAAACAGACGAGCGGGTGACGGAAGCAAAAATGGTAAGTGGAAACATGTGTTTCTACTGAACGGGCAGGTCCTCAAAGGGAAGCAAACAAAGACTCAGAGAAAATCCTCACAGAAAACAAAACTACAACTTTTTACTTGATACGTCTTCATACACGGTGTATTTTTAAAGTTCTTTGCATACAGTTAAGATTTTAGCTCAACTTTGAGTTCATTTAGGAAGGAACTCTGTGTTGTAATTTCTGTGTTCCTGTGGAAAGTCTTCATAGTGATTCATGCACGTATATTCAAGTGTTTTCAAATCACTGGACTTCTGTTTTTGAGGAAATCTTCTGATTCTCATCAGTGGCTGTTTTTTGCTTTGATTTTCAGTCTGATTACAGCACAGGCTCGCCTACCGCGCCGACGAGCCCCACATCTCAATTTTCCATCTCTTCTGCCATCACACAGAGCAGCGTCAACATCACACAGAGCAGCGTCAACATCACACAGAGCAGCGTCAACATCACAGAGAGCAGCGTCAAGACCACGGACAACTCTGTTTTAGTCAAGATTGCAGCCAATGACTTAATCAACTACGTCTACAGTTTGCTTGCTACCTTCGGTCTCTTAGCAGGCTGCTTCCTGCTTTACAGTTTCATTCAGACTTATCGCGCCCACAAGAGGCTGGCTTGGCTCGGCTGCCTCCTCTGGGTGTTTTGTGGCTTCCAGCTGCTGCTCCTGCTCCTCTCTTTGCACACGGTGGCCCACAGACCTGCCTACCTAAACACCACAGCTTTAGGCTGTGCCGCACTCTCCTTTACCATCAACATAGCCTCTCTGTGTGGCCTGCTGGTCTTAGTGCTCATGGCATCCGTCGTCACCTTTGATCCTCCATCCAATCACCTGCTGAGAAAGTCTCGTGTCTGTGCGGCACTAGTGGGCATCACTTCTGTACTCATTTCTCTGGTGCTGGCTGGCATTCGTGGACCCAGAGGAGATTTGCAGAAAGAGGGCAACTGTTTGATGGATCCCACCACAGATGGTGTTTCATACGCAGTTGCTAGGCTGTGTTTGGTCTTCCTGATTCCCTACATCCTCCAACTGGGACTTCTGATAGGTGGCTGTATCCGCCAGAGGGAGTCGAATGGACGTTTCCTCTCCGGCTCTGAGGAAGGCCCTGTGTTCCTGGCGGTCACCGGTTTTACGCTCATCTGCCAGCTCTTCTACAGCGTGGCGCTGCTTAGAGGGGCTCTGATTAATAGTGAAAGACAGCTGACGTTCCACCAGCAAGCATTTTTGAGTGTGTCTGAGTTTGTGCTGTTCTCAGGGAGCAGCGTGAGCCTGCTGCTCGTCCTGTTCATGCACAGGCCATGTCGGGAAAGCCTCTATGGAGTGATCAGGCGGCTGCGGGACTGCTGCCGACGTCCAGGGCCACAGCCCAACAGGAACATCATAGCTCCGCACATTGAGATCACAGACACTCTGGAGGACATCGAGTCTTAAGAAATGTGTCTGTTTGCTAGGACAGAGCTCTTCCCATGCATCAGATTTAATGTCTTACCTGTTATGGACCACCTCACTATCTATCCAGTCACTGAAAGCTTGCAGAACTCTCATCAAATGTATTTTTTTTAACATTTCATTTACAAAATGTACAAAAAGAGGAGAAAAAAAATGCTTTATATCTTGTTACTGTGCATTATCTTGCCATGTTATGTCAATTCAAATGATTTATTTCTTTAATCAGGGAATTAAAAAGGAGCTATTATTACATGAGATTCTGTATGAATTTTTAACCTGTTCCCGGGAAAATGTCTTTTCTTGGAAACTCTGTTTGCATAAGCCTGATTTACACAAAAGTCCATTAAGACAAATGCTTGGAAAAACCTCTGCAGCTCCCTGAAAGCCACATAGGAAAAATTAAGTCTAGGAAAACCAAAGTCAGAGTCTATATTTATGCCAACAGTGTCAACGAGCCCTCATGTAATTATGCTTGAATAAAAAAAAAAAAAGTTACTGAATCAGATGAACACTTTTCAAGAAATTCATGGGCACCAGTTCTAGGAATAAGCGATCCGCGTGGATAACGTTTTGCATCGGTGGCAACACGGAGCGACACAAACCCAGGAACCAGGAAAGTGAATGCGGGAGTAGAGTTCATTAAGAAGCTGGTCTTAACTTAACTGTCACAATAGTGATTGCTGAAATCGGGGCTCTTATGAATGCTACTTACAGTTTTAAAATCATCACATATAAAGTGATAAAAGATTCAGACACCACCCTACAAACCAGAACAAAGCGCACAGTTTGTGTTCCTGCACAAACCGTCTTTCTGGGGTTTTCAAGTAATGTGAAACAAGGAGACACTAAGTGAAATTATGCATGTCTGCATGTCCACCTTGTTTAGTGTAAATGTGCTGTCCAGAGACAGATCGACTCCCATGTTTACATATTTTAACATTACACAATCATGACCGTGTTTGCGTGCTTTCATGCCAGTGTTGACAAGACGACCTCATGTCTCAAATTGATATAATCATAAGCAATAAAATTATACCCACACACTGATAAAAATAGGGGATGATCAAACTGCCAAGTGACAGTACTGCCAATAAAAAGTAGTAAAGGTTTCATTTTAAAAAGACTTTTACACATTTGGCTCAAAAGCTGCGATATGAAGACGCGCCTGCATTGTGTGTTTGTGTTTCTTGTTGCAAGTGGTGGGTGGCTGTAAACATTTCTCCGCATTCATACTGAAACCACTTTTTACTGCCAGCGTTAACGGAGAGGGAGGACAATACACGCAGACCGAGAAATCACAGGTGAGTCCAAGCTCTTTTATATGACGCCTTAATTTGTTTATCACCAGTTTAGCTTTCCTTATAGTTTCCAAGTATCTCCTCAGCATGTTATGGCTTACCTGTTTGATATTAAACGCTTTGAACTAACATACAACGAATCCTACAGCCTGGAGGTGCTTCTGGTTGGGAGTTTAAATTTCTAAACGCTCGTAAGCATCTTTAAGATCTGATAAGTTAGATGAAGGATCTCGGAAAGTATTCTTTTTGACTGTATGAATATATTCAAAGCGGCTGCACTTTAAACAGATACACATCCACTTAAAAGTCGCATCAATAATGAATTTTTATGGGATATCTCTTCAAGGGTACGGTCAACTAGACAGTATCAGTGCTCGTTTCAGCTCTGCTAACATGACAAGTTAGCTTTGCTCATCTTACATGAGGCAACATAATGTGTCACTGCAGTACCTCTGCTTCTGTTTCCATTAAAAACGAATCAGTGATTAATGGTTTAATTAATCATTCTTTGTCATTTGTTAAAGGCGAGAAAATTCTGTGATGCTCCCGATGTTTGGGCAATAACTAGAGCTGAAGTAAAACACAGTGAACTATCACATAGTTTTGTAATTTGTCACATTAAAATGATGATTCAGACGGCTGCTATCTAGACAGCACGACCTGCCCGCCACAGCGAGCAAAACAATCTGTGTCACCTCTTAGAAGCAAGCCAGTGACAGCCAGTCACATTTCACTCAGTTTTATTTGGTTCAGTTCAATACAGCAGTGCTCTCAGTGTACGTAACTTTCTTTTGAGCAAGCCCTTGGCAACAGTGGAGAGAAAAAACTGCATTGGAAAAAAACGGGGAATTAATGTATTTATTGATGTTGTGTACAGAATTATTACCTCCTGGACGTCTACTTTTTGGCTGCCCCTCCTTTAGTCTTGAGGCTGCTTCCTGTTAAAAGGAAGTTTTTCCTTCTCCCTGTTCCCAAGGGCTTGCTCACACGGGTCGTCTGATTGTTGGGGTTTGCTCTGTAACATTGTAGAGTCTGTACCTTACAATATAAAGCCCTTTGAGCTGACTGTTCTTTGATTTTTTGCTATATAAATGCAACTGTATTGATGTGAATTGAAATTAATTGATGTTTTAAGAAAGTGAAACAGGCTGTTGACTTCATTTCGCTTCTTCTTTCTGTCTAGGGGAAACAGTGGCATCAGCACCTCACTCTATCCAAAAGCTACCGCTCACACAAAGAGGGAACTGATGGTACCGCAGGCTCCTCAGCAACTACTTAGTCTTCAAAAATCTAGGAACTATGGCAACTTAGTGTTTGGATGCTGCTAACAACAGCTAAAGACAAAAGGGGAACATGAACATGACCATAAATGTGGACTACAAAGTCATTGCTGACAATAACTTCAGTGCACATCCAAATGACACACAGGCAGTCGCCTCCGATTGTCCGGAGGCAGCTTCGGATAATTATTATTTTATCAGCCTCATCCTCTCCAGCCTCTACACCATATTCCTGTTTCCTGTCGGTCTTGTTGGGAATATCCTTATTATAGTGGTCAACCTTAACCACAGGGGCCGCATGACACCTCCAGATTGCTACTTCGTGAATTTGGCCATGGCTGACCTCTTTCTGGTAGCTGACTCTCTGATTGAGGTGTTCAATCTTAAAAAGGGCTACTACGACAAGGCCGGCCTCTGCACTTTCATGAACCTCTTCCAACAGGCCAACATGTACAGTAGCGTCTTCTTTCTGACCTGGATGAGCCTCGACCGCTTCGTCGCGCTGACCAACTCCATGGGTCGCAGCATACCACACGCACGGCTCAGCTGCTGCCTCATCTGGACGTCTTCGTCCCTGCTCACCTTGCTGCCTTTCGCTGTAGCTCAAGTGCAACACGCCGGAGAGCTTCATTTCTGCTTCGCCAACGTGACTCAGATTCAGTGGCTGGAGGTGATGCTGGGATTCTTGCTGCCCTTCTGCATCCTGGGGGTGTGCTACTGGAGAATAGCACGGGTGCTCAAATGCAGCCTCTGGGAACTAAACAGCCCCCTGCAGAGGCCTCGCAGGCAGAAAGCCCTGCGACTCATCTCAGCCGCTGTGGTCGTCTTCTTCCTCTGCTGGCTGCCAGAGAACGTGTTTATAAGTGTGCACCTCGTGAGGGGCGACACGAACGGGGGCACGCTGTGGCAGGATTACCCCTTGACAGGTCACGCCGTCAGGCTGGCGGCTTTCTCCAACAGCTGCCTGAATCCTCTCATCTACGGCTTCCTCGGGGAGGCCTTTAGGGAAAAGTTGAGGCTTTTTTTCCAGGATAAAAGCCGATGGTCCAAGCTGAACAGGACCCCCTCGAGAAAACCCATCAACGAACCAGCAGCAAAGGACGACAGTATGAGCAACTCATCACATCCAAACTGTGACATCCTCCTGCCAACTGAGTACCCTCCTTGAATAAACTGTATATACATGGTTTCACCAAAACACATGAAAATCATCTGTGCTGTGGGGTAAAAGCGCCATTCAGTGCTAAATATCAAAACATGGATCCTAATTTTTGTACAGATCTGACTGTTTTTAATGTAAAATTGAGACACATCAGTGTTATTTAAATGAATCATGCAAGCATAAAAGTCTCTCTGAACTGAATGACAGCATGTCTCAGTGCCAAAAATTTAAATTTATTACCTGTCAGTTCATTATCTGTGTTATTACATGTTTGCCACGCTGCTCTATGCTTTACCATGATTATGTCACAAAAAAGATTTTTTCACGGTAAAACACTGTAAACTAGCTGACTACCTACAAAGAGCCAAATAAAGTCTTTAAGTCACATTTTCAGCAGTGAACATTCTCACCTCTGCTTGCTCTACGGTTTGGTTCACTCGTTCCTTTTTGCTCTTCTTGTTCTTTTTCCGTTTTTTATCATCTGTTGTGTTTGTTAGCTGAGACATGTGAGCAGGAGCCTCCTGCTTTAAAAACAAAGTGTTAATGATACTGTGACTGATTTCAGGTAGTGCTGTAAAATACCATTCTCTGTGCTACTCACGTCTGCATCCATCTTTTTCCTCTTCGTATTTACTTCAGTGTCCATTATTTCTGTACGGTCATCAGATGGACCCAGATCCTTCCTCTTAAGAGGTTTTGATTTCAACGATTTGTCCTTGGCCATGAGATAAATTACTCCTGCAAACCAACACAAGCGTGTATATTACTGAAGACCAGCACACACGTTTACTGAATGAAGTACACGGACAGACAAGGTTTAAGGTAAAAAGAAACACATTATCCACTTTATGACATAACAACAAGCAGCAGGTATATGGGCTAAACACTACTTTGACCACGTTGTTTTTACTAAAAACCTTAAACCAACCTGAGCTGCGTTGCGTGCCAAACTCTGGAAAGCACACAGGCGCGTGGAAAGTCAACCAGGAAGCGGTGCCGCTCAAGTGAAGCCTGATTGGACGATTGGCTACCCGTGTTTTGTGATTGGTCGGTGGGTGTAACATGTTTAAAAACTCGAAGAACAAACTACTGAAAGAAATCTCAAAATATTAAATGAAGTGGGAACCTGGAGACTATTTAATATCAATAAATAATAAATAAATACATAAACACAAACCATAATAAAACAAACAAAAAACAATTCACTAATAAAAAAGAAAGAATATTATAAATAAGACAATACGCTGTAGCTCAAAAGTACTTAAAATGCTCACAAATAAAATAAAATGCAGACTGGTGGTACGGTGTAAAATCGAAGTAATTATACTTTCAAGCCTAAATGTGCCATTATCTTTAGATATAGTCACACTACTGCTAATAATAATAATAGAATAATAAATTATTCTATGGGTTAGAGACAGCCGGTCATAACCAGCGTCTCTCGCTGTTTCTGGCCGGAGAGAATTGAAGGTTGCACAATGGTGTGTTACATGACCTGACTGAAAAGGTTTTGCTGGGCAAACCTTCAGTTTCGTAGTGTTGAGTAAGATGACCGGTTGTCCATCATGTCTATAGCAGCAGTCTTTGCCCGTCTGACACGAGTGGCTTTGAGTCGAGGAACATTTATTCATAGCGGTGCAGCGACCGTGAGGTGAGTGTCAGTATGTGTTTCCCCGGCTCATGGAAAGCATGTATTCAATGTGTAATGGTGGTTCAATGACAGTGTAGTATCTTTAATTGTTGGTCAGCTTTTCTTAATTTTTCCTAGAAGACACACCTTGGTCCTTTGACGTTAATCTAGTTACTAGGCTTTGGATGGATAGCAGGAGTTTTCCTTTCATGAGGACGTATGACTAACTAAAGTACAGTCACCGTCCGTGTGTTGCCGTTGTGTCAGAGGTTAGATTTATCATTTTCAATAGAGCAGC